TGTGAGTGTGTGTGTGTGTTTGTGTGTGCGTGAGTGTGAGTGAGTGAGTGAGTGAGTGAGTGTGTGTGTGAGTGTGTGAGTGTGTGCATGTGTGCGTGCGTGCGTGTGTGTGTGTGTGTATAAAAATATTACACAAACAAGCCAGAATAGAGACCAGCACATCTTCATTTCTTATTTATACTTTTGTTTCATTAAAATTTTTAATTTGAACATTTGTGTTTAATTATTAAAAAATGGTAAAAATGTAATAATTTTTAATGTAATATAGTTGGATACAATGCAACATTTACTTTAAAAATCTAGTTTGATTTCAAAACAGAATATGGAGGGAAAAAAACTGATTTCGTAAGGCTTTTCAATAAACTGTTGTTAAACTGAATACATTTCTTGATTTCAATCAATTAGACGTGCCTTTTGATTACGAAAAGAAAAAAAAAATCCAGAAAAAAAAATCCAGAAAAAAATCTGAATTCAAAACAGATTTTTTTGGTGTTCCAACACAGATTTGACATTGGCCATCAAGTGGTGACCAAACACTGCACGTTTAGTATAAATAAATGATTCGATCGATCAGTATATTTCTATCAGACGCACAGTCTCAGATGTATTGCGGTTATTATGTTACAGTCTGGATGACAGGCGTGATCACATGCTGTCTGCGCGAGCGTTAATTATGAGCTGTTAATGAACTCAGAGTCTAAAATAAGAGATACACGTCATGCACAGTAGGGATGAGCGATGCCAGTTATCTTCTTATTGATCCGATACCAAGTACTTTCAAGACAAGCATCGTCGATATCAATACTCGTATGTGAGTGATTTTATAGTGTACTTTGATAGCCATCATTAATATTAAATACACTGCAATAGACATGACTTCTTTTTTGCATATAACACATATAACAACTTGTATAACAAAAATAAAACACGTGTCTTTAAACATGTGTCTTTGTGTGACAGTGTCACATACTGTAGTCTTCCCCGTATGGACTATATATTTATACCGCTCAAGACATATCTATTAAGATGGTTTTATATCTGTATATTTGAGTTTTACATGTTGTCTTAGCCATTTTAAACCTCTTATTCGTTTTAATGTGTGTATGTCTTTAAATGTGAATGGTCTGCCTGTCACGTGATCAATCACATGACAGGAATAAGGAAGTAGACCACTTTTAACAGCCTAAGTTATTCTAGTTGTATTGTGTTGTTTTACGTTCCGTGTGCATTGTGTAAATACACTATTTATTCAGTCTACTTTTGACGTTTGTCTCATGTTTTTAAAAAACACTTGTTTTACCTCACACATAAAGTCTGACCCCTTTTGATCAGTGTAACACCTTCCGTGATGGCTGAGCGTTACAGGTTTACATAGAAACACAGTTGGTTATGTCTAAAGTCAAAGCAAACAGTTGAGAGAGAATCAGACGCGTGTAGCTCTTAAAGTGACAGCAGTCTAATAGCACTAAACATGCTGCAGCTTGTCAATAAAGGAAGAGTTCACCCAAAAATTACATTTCTGTCATTATTTACTCACTCTCATGTTATCTCAAACCTGTATTAATTTCCATCTTGTGCTGAACACAAAAGAACATGTTTTGAAGAATGTGGGGAACCAAACAGTAGTAGTTTGATAGTAGGAAAAAATCAAATCAAATACTATGGAAGTCACTGCGGACCAGCAACTGTTTGGTTGCCACATTCTTCAGAATAACTTTTGTGTTCAACAGAAGAAAGAAACTCATTCAGGTTTAAAACAGCTTGAGAGTGAGTCAATGGTGACAGAATGTTCATTCTTTGTTAACGTTTGTTAACGTTCTTTAATGTTAATAAAACAAAACACAAAGAGAAAAACCACTCACTGCTCTCGACTGAAGAACTTTAATACAGTTGCTTTAATAAGAATCAGTGTATAATTTATACAGTGAAGTGTATCTAGTGTTTTATTTTTATATTTGATCATTTAATTTCTTGAATGCTGCTGCTGAATACACCTACTGTATCTGAAAAATAAAGCACCACTGCCAGGTATTACTTGACCCTTGAATTATGTAATTTATTTATTAAACAAGTTTTAAATGATATAAATAATATATAAATGATTTCATTACCGATCCCAGGTAACAGAAATAGATAGAGGCTAATGAAAAATATATGAAATATTTTAATTAAACTAAAATGTCCAGTTTAAATCTTTATACTCACATGCAGTGTAATAATCTGCTCCCCGTGAAATCTTCATCTGTATTGAATAAAGTATATAATAATTAAACGTGACTTTTTGTATTTGAATAACCTAATCACCACTCGGTACCTGGATTATTCTAAACATTCTAAAATCACTTGAAAAAAACAGATAGGATTGATACTTTTATTTGAGAATGGATTCTTTTGATACAATGTATCGGCCATCGCTAATGCACAGGTCTCAACACGTGGTAGGATGGAATGTGAACATATCTGGACCTTACTTCAAGCCAAAAACACAATGTTTTGAGACCCTGGAGCCAGTTTCTGGGTTTTGGATGAGTTCTCTGTATTCTCCAGAGCTTGTCTTGTGTAGCGTGTCCTCGTTAGTCCTCGTCAGGTGCGTGGCTCAGATCACTGAATCACTCCACAGACCTGCAGCACTTCTGGAGTTTATGCTGTTTCTACGGGACTTCGATCTGTCCTCATTTACGTCTTCATTGTTCATTTCTTCATTCTATTTTAATAATTACATTTTCCAAACAGCTCGTCTAATCGATTGAATTCATGAAACTTGAGGCCGTATGAAATCTGTTTTATTTTTACCCAAATTTTTTCTGTTTTAATTTTTCTGGATTCAGTTGCAATAATTTAATGCAATTTTTATAATCAAAAAGCACGTCTCATCAGTTGAATTTATAAAACTTTAATAATTTATTACAGTTTTTTACAATAATAGGGCCCTGAAATGGATTCATGAAACCCATTTTATTTTTTCCCAAATTCCATTTTTTTCCATTTACATTTCTGTGGGTTGCATTTTAATTTTTCTGGATTCTATTTTAATAATTTCAGTAAAATTTTGTTTTATTTTTCCCAAATTAATTAAAATTTTCTGGATTTCATTTGAATTTTTTCTGGATTCTGTTTTAATAATTTAATTAAATTTCAATATTTAAAAAGCATTTCATAATTTATTAACATTTTTACAAAAATATGGGCCCTATGAAATCTGTTTTATTATTATTTTTTTGCATTTTAAGTTTTTGGATTCCATTTTAATTTTTTCTGGATTCTGTTTTAATAATTTTATAAATATTTTAATAATTAAAAACATGTCTAATCAATTAAATTAATAAAACTTCAACAATTTAATACTTTATTATTTAATTTTATATATATCCAGTATATATATATATATATATAACAATAATAGGGCCCCAAAAAATCCCTAAAATTCTGTGCTTTAATTTTTCTGGATTTATGATTTAATAAAAAAATGTATTATCAAAAACAGTGGTAATCAAATGATGGCATAATACATGAACAATTGAAATGTAATGCAAACTGGTGCACAACAGAGGTTTACTGTTCAAATTAAAGCATGGAAGAACAATTGTGTTTTAGTCATTTTGTAGTTATTATTATTATTATTACTAAGAGAAGCAGATTGTACTGTAGCTACAATAGTGATACATTTCTGTCATAATTTATTTCAGTTGGACTTTCATTCTTTTATTTCGGCAGGTTTGAGCTATTCATCAGACACCTGCCTGACTGGATTATGCACATGTCTTGCTGAGATCATCGGGCTCTGTCTGTGTGTGTAAACAGTGTTTGTGTCTCTCACAGAAAGAGAAGAAGAGCAGCGGTCTCCTCAAGCTTCTCTCCGGAGCCGCAGCTAAGAAGAAGTCCCGGTCTCCGCCGTCTGTCTCTCCGACCCACGAGTCCTGCTCGGTTCAGGGGGCCATGGCCCCGGAGCTGCGGTTGGCCGGGGGTCACGGACGTTTTATTTTTATATTTGATCATTTAATTTCTTGAATGCTGCTGCTGAATACACCTACTGTATCTGAAAAATAAAGCACCTCTGCCAGGTATTACTTGACCCTTGAATTATGTAATTTATTTATTAAACAAGTTTTAAATGATATAAATAATATATAAATGATTTCATTACCGATCCCAGGTAACAGAAATAGATAGAGGCTAATGAAAAATATATGAAATATTTTAATTAAACTAAAATGTCCAGTTTAAATCTTTATACTCACATGCAGTGTAATAATCTGCTCCCCGTGAAATCTTCATCTGTATTGAATAAAGTATATAATAATTAAACGTGACTTTTTGTATTTGAATAACCTAATCACCACTCGGTACCTGGATTATTCTAAACATTCTAAAATCACTTGAAAAAAACAGATAGGATTGATACTTTTATTTGAGAATGGATTCTTTTGATACAATGTATCGGCCATCGCTAATGCACAGGTCTCAACACGTGGTAGGATGGAATGTGAACATATCTGGACCTTACTTCAAGCCAAAAACACAATGTTTTGAGACCCTGGAGCCAGTTTCTGGGTTTTGGATGAGTTCTCTGTATTCTCCAGAGCTTGTCTTGTGTAGCGTGTCCTCGTTAGTCCTCGTCAGGTGCGTGGCTCAGATCACTGAATCACTCCACAGACCTGCAGCACTTCTGGAGTTTATGCTGTTTCTACGGGACTTCGATCTGTCCTCATTTACGTCTTCATTGTTCATTTCTTCATTCTATTTTAATAATTACATTTTCCAAACAGCTCGTCTAATCGATTGAATTCATGAAACTTGAGGCCGTATGAAATCTGTTTTATTTTTACCCAAATTTTTTCTGTTTTAATTTTTCTGGATTCAGTTGCAATAATTTAATGCAATTTTTATAATCAAAAAGCACGTCTCATCAGTTGAATTTATAAAACTTTAATAATTTATTACAGTTTTTTACAATAATAGGGCCCTGAAATGGATTCATGAAACCCATTTTATTTTTTCCCAAATTCCATTTTTTTCCATTTACATTTCTGTGGGTTGCATTTTAATTTTTCTGGATTCTATTTTAATAATTTCAGTAAAATTTTGTTTTATTTTCCCCAAATTAATTAAAATTTTCTGGATTTCATTTTAATTTTTTCTGGATTCTGTTTTAATAATTTTATAAATATTTTAATAATTAAAAACATGTCTAATCAATTAAATTAATAAAACTTCAACAATTTAATACTTTATTATTTAATTTTATATATATCCAGTATATATATATATATATATAACAATAATAGGGCCCCAAAAAATCCCTAAAATTCTGTGCTTTAATTTTTCTGGATTTATGATTTAATAAAAAAATGTATTATCAAAAACAGTGGTAATCAAATGATGGCATAATACATGAACAATTGAAATGTAATGCAAACTGGTGCACAACAGAGGTTTACTGTTCAAATTAAAGCATGGAAGAACAATTGTGTTTTAGTCATTTTTTAGTTATTATTATTATTATTACTAAGAGAAGCAGATTGTACTGTAGCTACAATAGTGATACATTTCTGTCATAATTTATTTCAGTTGGACTTTCATTCTTTTATTTCGGCAGGTTTGAGCTATTCATCAGACACCTGCCTGACTGGATTATGCACATGTCTTGCTGAGATCATCGGGCTCTGTCTGTGTGTGTAAACAGTGTTTGTGTCTCTCACAGAAAGAGAAGAAGAGCAGCGGTCTCCTCAAGCTTCTCTCCGGAGCCGCAGCTAAGAAGAAGTCCCGGTCTCCGCCGTCTGTCTCTCCGACCCACGAGTCCTGCTCGGTTCAGGGGGCCATGGCCCCGGAGCTGCGGTTGGCCGGGGGTCACGGACGAGCCGGCTCCTGCCCCATCGAGAGCGAGATGCAGGGAGCCATGAGCATGGAGCCGCTGCAGAGGAAGAGCGGCTCGCTGGACCTGAGCTTCTCTGTGTCTCCGCCGGCACGACAGCCCTGCTCCTCCTCACCGCTGGCCATCCGGCCCGAGCCCAAGCCTTTATCCCGAGAGAGGTGAGTCTAAATTACAATTACAACTGAAATATTCAGCGAATTTAAGATCACAATGCACATTTGAATGCATGAAGTTAAGATGTGTAGCAAGCCCTGGAAAAAATGACAAATTTTTTACATTTTTGCAATTTTGTGCATTTTAGTTTAAAAATAAGTGCACTTGAAGCAGCAGGTTTGTTTTTGAACAATACTTTGCAATATGGTGCTGTTGTTCTGGCGCCCTCTTGTGGACTGATATGGTGTGTTTACTAGTATTGAAATTGTTAACATGTTATCATTCAAATTTTGAAGATATTTCATATTTATACACTACCAGTCAAAGGTTTGGAGTAATTTGAGGGTTTTTTTTAATGAAAGAAGTCTATTTTATTTGATTAAAAAATACTGTAAAATTGTGAAATATTATTACAATGTAAAACAGCTGTTTTCTATGTGAATATCTGTTAAACTGTAATTTATTTCTGTGATGCGCAGCTGTATTTTCAGCATCATTTCTCCAGTCTTCAGTGTCACATGAGGAAACTGTGATGCATTTTATTTTTCAGGATTCACAGATGAACAGAAAGTTCAAAAGAACAGCATTTATTTGAAATAGAAATCTTTTGGAACATTGTAAATGTCTTTACTGTCACTTTTGATCAATTTAATGTGTCCTTGATGAATAAAAGCATACATTTTTTATTTTTTAATCTTACATTTCCCCAAATTAGTGTATTACTCTTTCCACAAAAATGTTTCTTGAGCAGCAAATCAGCATATTAGACTGATTTCTGAAGATCATGTGACACTGAAGACTGGAGTAATGATGCTGGATCACAGGAATAAATTACAGTTTAACATACATTCACTTATTTTAAACTGTAATGATATTTAAAAATGTATACAGTATTTTTGATCAAACAAATGCAGACCTGGTGAGCATAAGAAAAGTTTTTCAAAAAATCTGAATTATTCCAAATGTTTATTATTAAAATATATTCATTGAAAAATAAAAATTAGTTTTTCATGCAATAAATATTGTTTACATTTTCACTCAGTTTTTAGCAACTGGAATGAACATTTTCTCAACATTTACTCATGTCATTTCAAACCCTTGTGCTAATTTACTGTAATTTATTTATTTTCATTTTTACTTTATTTTTAGATTATTATGGTTTTGGTTTGGAAGGTTTGTCGTGTGTGAATGTTTCACCTGTTATCATCTGTTGAGCGTCTGCTGTTCACGTCTGTGTGTGTCAGGTACCGCGTGCTCGTCCCGTATCCGCCGCAGAGCGAAGCCGAGATCGAGCTGAAGGAGGGCGACATCGTCTTCGTGCACAAGAAACGTGAAGACGGCTGGTACAAAGGGACGCTTCAGCGCACCGGACGAACGGGCCTCTTCCCCGGCAGCTTCGTGGAGAGCTTCTAGAAGCCAACAAGCTCCTGAGACCTAGAGGATGTCCAGAAGAATCTCCCCGGGTCTCCTGATGAAGACGAGCATCTTTACTGCCCTCACAGATCCGTCAGGAAGGCCTTTCACGGGACAGATGGTGCCTTCATCTGCGTGTGAGTCTGCGGCGCCCTCTGCTGCGTGTGCATGGCGTGACGTGTCCTCCTGACGCTCCCTCAGATTCTGAGAGAAGCTCTGAGAGCTTGAGAAATGATTCCTACAGCTGCTCCTTCGAAGCGGTTCAGTGTTCCTTCGGTACTTTAATCAGAATGATGACGACACAACGAGGATGTGATTTATAGCACATGATAAGATGTGAATGTAGGAGTGATGAATCTCACGAAACCTGTCAAGAGTGTCATATCTCACGCCAAAATCAAGAGAAAAAAATAATTAAAACTAAAATACAAAGAAATAAAGCATAAAGCAATTAAAGCCTGTTTTTTCAGGACCATTAGGATTTTTATTTTTTTTTTTACATCATTTTGGATTATTTTCCCACTAGATTCTCATTATTATAATGCAAAAATAAAATAAAAAAGATAAAATATTAATGAAGCATGTTAGTATTAGTATAGTCGTGGCTTTATGCTCATTCAAATAAAAAATAATGCATTCAGTTTTGATCACAGAAATAAATTACAATTTAAAATATTTTAAAATACGAAAAATATTTGATCCATTTTTAAATTGTAATAAGTCACAGTATTACCATTTTTACAGTATTCTTGATCAAATAAATGCAGCCTTGGACATTAAAAATATTACTTATTCCAAACTTTTGATTGGTAGTATGTTTAATGTTTCTTTCTTTTAATTTTGGACTGAAATATGACCCGGACACGTTTTGCTGAGATTGGCTCACTCTGTGGTTTATAATGAAAGTTTGTTTACAGTGAAAGCACAAACTCGTTTTATTGGTTTTCGGTTCTGTCTTTCCTAGAGCATCATGGGATGTGCATGCTGGTTTACTGACATTATTTGTGTCTTGTTTACCGAGTGTCGCTGTGGAGGTTTGATCTTTGTATCTGCTGGTGCCAAGCTCTAGAGACACTCCAGTTTTATCAACTATTTTCACTTTGATTCCTGAATTTTCCATGTGCTCAGTGTGCCAGAAACAGACTTTACACGAGTACACAAACGCGTTCGGCCAGCGTGTTTCAGGCGTGTGGTCCTGTCGAACATATTTAATGTGATCCTCTGTTACTGAGGAGCTTTCCTTCAGATCTCTGAGCCATTAAAGCAGATGTGTTATCATTCAGATATAACACTTTCACTATAACTCACTCAGAACTGGTGCTCTTTTATGATCTGAAAGAGAAAACTGACCATAGAAGACATTTCACACCAGGGTTATTATCGTTAACTAAATCTAAAATATTAAAAACATTTTTGGTAAAGTCGGCATGAAATTGAAGTTGAAATGGTCTTTTCTTCTATTCTCCAATATGAGTGAAATGCCGTCTTGAACAAGAAAAAAAATGTAGGGCGGGGTTTAATTGGGTCTGTCGGGAATTGATTGGATCATTGTAAAATTAAAAAAAAAAAATAATGTGTTCAGATAAATAATTTATAATAAACTCTGCAGTATTCCCCCCCCCCCAAAAAATATATATTATCGGTTATTATCGGTTATCGGTTATCGATTATCGGTGGCTTTAAAGCTGAACTAAAGTCAAATATAAATATTAGAAATGTTAGAACAGCTAATGCTAGTTTGACAGCTAACTGAAATATGTTTTGCAGCTGAAGCACTAAAATTACTGGAAATAAAAACTAAAATTGAAAAAAAAAAAAGTTTTATTTAAAAATAACAAAAATCTAATAAAAATCACAAATGCAAATAACTAAAAGGAAAATGAAAACTTAAAATATGAAAAATAAATGCTGATTCAAAACATTAATAATACAACATAAATAATTAGTAAATAGTAATATCCCTGGTGTAACTGGAATGCGTTTGTTCCTGTACTTGTGTAGAGTTTGTTTCAGGCTGTTGAGCATCATCTGAATGTCTTTCATGAGGACTGATCTCCGTCAGCCGCTGCTCTACATTAGAGGAGTTCTGATGAAACAGCACATGTTTACTTTTATCGAGACGCTCAAAACCGATTCAACAACCAACCAGCATCACAGCGGCGTCTGAAGCACAAACTCACAAGAACACCGAGCAAGACCACACGTTTCACTTCATCAGATTACGCTAAATGATATGATATGAGTTGCTCTTTTGTGTGGTTGCTGTTCAGCCAACAAAACATTAAAATGCCATTTTGAAAAAAAAAATATACAGAAAACAGGAAGTGATGAAGATGTAAATTCATTAGAATGACGTCCTCTTTTACAACTGCTTCAAACTCTCAGAAGCTTTCTCTGCCAACATCATTTTTTAAATCTAGTTTTAAGTGAAATTTTTCATTGGTGCCAAATTAAATACGCTGTCTCTCCTGATGCATGTCTGCCGGCGTGTTCTTGTGTGTAAAATCAGTCCAGAGACGTCCGCTCACAGGACGTGTTCTAGTTCTGTTTGCACTGTTCTTAATTGTTAGTCGATGTGCAAACGCTCTAGACTGACGCCGTTGCATTGCATTCCGCCGTAGGAAACGTTCAAGCGTGCAGCTGTTTTTAACACACGCACGTGTCCTGTGGAAACTATGGAAGCCCATTTCGGCCACTGAATAAAAAATAAAAAAAGCTAATTGCGACTTTTTATCTTGCGATTCTGACTTTTTTCTCACAATTCGGACATTTTTCTCGCAATTGTGAATTTATATCTCACAATTCAGATTTTCCCACAGTTCTCACTTTTTTCTCACAATTCTGACTTTTTTCTCACAATTCGGACATTTTTCTTGCAACTGTAAGTTTATATCTCACAATTCTGACTATTTTTCTCGCAATTGCGAATTTATATTTCACAATTCAGATTTTCACACAATTCTGACTTTTTTCTCACAATTCTGACATTTTTCTCGCAATTGCGGATTTACATATTGCAGTTCTGATTTTCGCACAATTCTGACATTTTTCTCGTAATTGCAAGTTTACATCTCACAATTCTGACTTTTTTTTTCGCAATTGCGAGTTTATTTCTCACAATTCTGACATTTTTCTCGCAATTGCGGATTTACATATTGCAATTCTGATTTTCGCACAATTCTGACATTTTTCTCGTAATTGCAAGTTTACATCTCATAATTCTGACTTTTTTTTCGCAATTGCGAGTTTATATCTCACAATTCAAACAATTTTTCTTGCACTTTCATTTACATCTCGCAATTCTGACTTTTTTCTCGCAGTTGCGAGTTTATATCTCACAATTCAAACTATTTTTCTCGCAATTGCGTTTACATCTCAGTTCAAACTATTTTTCTCGCAATTGAGTTTACATCTCAATTTAAACTATTTTTCTCGCAATTGCGTTTACATCACAATTCAAACTATTTTTCCCGCAATTACGTTTACATCTCAATACAAACTATTTTTCCCGTAATTACGTTTACATCTCAATTCAAACTAATTTTCCCGCAATTACGTTTACATCTCAATTCAAACTAATTTTCTCGCAATTGCGTTTACATCACAATTCAAACTATTTTTCTCGCAATTGCGTTTACATCACAATTCAAACTATTTTTCCCGCAATGACGTTTACATCTCAATACAAACTATTTTTCCCGCAATTCCGTTTACATCTCAATTCAAACTATTTTTCCCGCAATTACGTTTACATCACAATTCAAACTATTTTTCCCGCAATGACGTTTACATCTCAATACAAACTATTTTTCCCGCAATTACGTTTACATCTCAATTCAAACTAATTTTCTCGCAATTGCGTTTACATTTCAATTCAAACTATTTTTCTCGCAATTGCGTTTACATCACAATTCAAACTATTTTTCCCGCAATTACGTTTACATCTTACATTTCTGACTTTTTTCTCGCAATTCTAACATTTTTCTCGCAATTTTGAGTTTACATATTGCAATTCTGACTTTTATCTCGCAATTGCGATATTCCCACAATTTTGACTTTTTTCTCACAATTCTGACTTTTTCATGCAATTGCGAGTTTATATCTCGCAATTCTGACTTTATAACTCACAGTTGTGAGTTTATATCTTGCAATTGTGAGAAAAAAGTCAGAATTATGAAATAAAAAGTCAGTTACCTTTTATATTTTTTATTGAGTGGCAGAAACAGGCTTCCATAGTAAACGGCCCGTTACACTGCAGGCTGAAGCACAAAAGAAGCGTCTGAAGGTGCTGATGATAGTCAGCGAGACACATTTCTGGATCCGTGGAGGTTACGGATGATTGAGTCATGAGCACATGGATTGTTCCCACATGATTCAGCATTGAAGTCAATGTTCTTGGATGCTGGTTCTTCATAAGCACAAGATGATTCATCCACCAGTGACTCCTGGCTTCGTTTTTATTTCTTTGGATGGATTCCTACAGTGTTTTTAATCTCATGGTCTGTATGTCGTGCTCTTTTATCAAATCATTATGGATTTGATCACGGTGCCGTTTTTTTCTCACTTGGAGTTTCGGCACGAGTGCCATTTTGCTCGCCAAAAGACAAGCACACGTTGGTCTCCATGTTGGAGATGAGATGATGGACGTTGATTCCTGCTTCTGAATAGAGGAATAATTCACCCTCAGATGATCATTCTGTCATTATTTACTCGCGTTGTGATGTTATTTTTACAGGCGAACACAAAAAGGAGGATTTCTGCCGTGCAAATCTTGTTTTTGTGCTAAAAATAACATCATAAATAATGGCAGAATGATTCACGTGAACGTGTTTCAGCATGAACTGTTCGTACATTGACTGCATTGAACGAAGAAGCTCTATATGATGACATATTTATATGCTATTGGTGCTAGAGTGGAGATGTTGGGGAATATTTCCTCAAGCACTTGTTCTCTGGAATTTGACATTGTTTTCATTTACACATTGTCTTATACTGATCATGATGATAATGTGGTTTGTTTCTGTTGTTTGTCAAGTACATTTTAGCAATAAATGCCTTTGATTTAAAACCACGATTCATGGAGTTATTCACACACAGCAGATGTACAGTAAAACCTCACATGGCCGTTGTGATTTTAAGTGATTCTCTGTGGGAATCTGCTGTATTTGATGAGAGTTGTGCGCCGTTTGTCTCATGCACATTGAATGAATCCCACAGAACAATTATTTCTCCAGTCACAGCGTAATAAGAATCGATTCCACTCATTGTAACCACTAATTGGATTCATTACTGTTGGACTGATTACTAAATTGGACTAGTGCTGTTTAACACAGAGGTCAGTCTGCAGAGAAGCAGCTGCATTTCATTGAAAACAACGAATCATTCTCATGACGTTTGGTTCCATTAAAGGTTCTCGAGCGTCTGATGTGTAGCCAAACACAGCAGCTTCCAGCAGCACTACTCTACATTTTGCGAATTGCATTGCATTCAAGATACACGTTTTAGCAATTTTATAAATTGGAACTGTATGTGATTGAAAGACTGCGACGCAAAATAATGAAAAGTTGATAAACAGACAACACAGAATTATATTGCATCATGCTCTCTCGCTGCACAACAACAAGAAAGAAGACAAGAAACAAGAAAGACAAAAGCTGAAACAAATCCAGCATCAAGACGTTTTTAACTAAAACACATTGAGTCTATAATCCATAATAACTCTTCCTCCAATGAAAAAGTGCATCTGCTGTTGTCTCTCACATCAAAATCCAGCCACATATTAGTTTAGAGCTGTTTAAACGCTGCTTGATCTGTGCAGATTTCTCTCCTGATTCACACCAGAACACTTCTTCACTGGAGGAAGCGTTATTATGGATTATGAACTCAATGTGTTTTAGTTAAAAACGTCTTAATGCTGGATTTGTTTCAGCTTTTGTCTTCTCCAGATGTTCACTGATGGACTGGAGTGCTGTGGATTATTGTGATGTTTTTATCAGCTCTTTGGACTCTCATTCTGACGGCACCCATTCACTTGCAGTGAGTCAAGTCAAGTCAAGTCACCTTTATTTATATAGCGCTTTTAACAATATAGATTGTGTCAAAGCAACTGAACAGCATTAATTAGGAAAATAGTGTGTCAATAATGCAAAATGACATTGAGAATATCACTATATATTGTTGCAACACCGCCGCCACGACCAGTCTGACGGGGCTCATGCTTATAACAGTAGCTTGTGAGACACTGATGCAATGCTACATTTCTCCAAACCGGATGATCTCGGATGGCCTGAGGATGAGCACATTTTCAGCAAATGTTAATTTCTGAGTGTTTAATGAAGTGGTTCTGCTCATCTCTTGGTGATTTCAGCTCTGCTCTTTAAACTAAGACGTTTGCTCTAACCTCTTTCGTTCTCGGCTGTTTCTATCTCTCTTCCGTCCTGGAAGTGTCACATCTCGTGTCCGAATGGAGTGCGGTCTTGTAATTGGACATTTCAAATCTAACGCAGCAGACTGAAGTAACAAACCAATTTCCCTGCTGAACGCCTGACTGTCTAAATGCAAATGCATGACGATTATTCCATTCACTACAGGCCACACCACACTCGAAATTCCCCTCAGGACACGGGAAGTGACCACAATCCCGGGAAATAATTAAATGATGGTCCACCAGCGATGAAAGGTATCTCATCCACATCAATCTGAGTTTATGTCCTGACCAGCTGCGACAAGCAGTGAGTGAAAATGACATTTTGTTGGTCACTGCTTTGTATTTCAGAAGGCTGACCCGTCCACACTGAAAAATCATTTGAGCAAAGTATATTCGACATCAAATACGGACAAGGAGAGCTGAGAAATTATGGATTTGGACAAAACCATCACAATGATGTTTTCTGGAAAATACAAGGTGTGTGTTTTTAGGCTAGCACTTTTTATGAAGCCCGTATTTATAACACATTATAAGCAGAGTATTCTTAAGGCATTATAGTGAATGCATAAAAAAAACCTTATAATATGTTTTCATAAGTTTTAACGCATTATAATATTTACTTATTTGTGGTTATAGCTTTTAAGATTATGAAGATTTATAATACACAATGAACACAATGCATGGATTATATTTCCCATAGTTATAATAATGTATTATATAAGTCTCATATCTTGCCATTGTTAACTTGCTACTCTTATAAATAACAACAATAATAAAAAAATATTTTTTTTCTGAAACAGCCGTAAGATCAGATATCTGACACATTTGCTTTTAACTATATTTATTATAATATCAGTGAGATACTGTACAGATCTTAAATAAATAATGTCGAGATATGAGATTTATAATTTATAATACTCATAAAAGTCATAACCACAAATAAGTAAGTTTAATAATGTATTATAATTGTTGTTATGATTATTTATGAGATGAAACAACATATTATAAGTGTTTTATAATGCATTCATTATAATGCCTTAAGAATACCGTTATAATGTGTTAAAATACGGGCTTCATAGAAAGTGTTAACACTTTTAGTTTTAAGATCTATTCAGAATAAATTGAAATAAACTAAGACTGAATCTAAATTCACTCCTGTTCAATGGGTATATATATATATATAGATGGTACAGCAAAAATATGCAGAAAAATATACATGAATAATGTACATTAACCCTTGTGCATGTCCTTAGGAACATTTTTGTCTTTATTTATTTATTTAATTTAGGCTGTCTTAATGCAAAACTGTATTTTTATTGGAATTTTAAGATATGGGAACCTTTTTGTCACTTTTAAGAGCTCAACTCTGTTTCTATTAACTGATTTTTAGTTAGTTGTATTTTATTTGCTTTTAGCGGTTTTACTCCTAAATGTAGTGTAGAAACTTTCATTTTCTGTGAAGCTGCTTTGCAACGATTTGTATCGTGAAAGTGCTATACAAATAAACATGAATTGAATTGAATTAACACTGCTTTTAGAAGAGACTAGTAGAGAGCCACTAGTTTGGGTTATTTTGACCACAGTTCGTGCATTAATCCAGCAGATTGAGATGATTTAGCTTTAGGTTTCGTAGTTTCACTGAATGAACTTCAACTTATACAGTCGTGCGTAAGAGAACAACAGCTTCAAACACGAACTTATAAACAGCTGAACTGATTAAGACGACGTTTTCATAACTTACTCATCTCGATGGTAAACTCGACAGCTTCGTCCAGACTTCTTGAAGTACCGTCGCTGGAAATTTACCTCAGATCTGTCCAGTCAGATTTCGCTCTCTTTTCAGGACCGTAACCGTCAGATGACGTCATCAAGTGTTTGAATCACAGTCTTGTCGCAATCGTTTATGGAAGCCCATTTCCGCCACTGAATAAAAAATTAAAAAAGGTTATTGCGACTTTTTTTTGGCAATTCTGACTTTTTTTCTCACAATTCTGACTTTTTTTTCTTGAAACTGATCTTTTCTCGCAACTTTTTTTCTCGCAATTATGACTTTTTTCTCGCAAATTATTTTTTCGCAACTGACTTTTTTTCTTGCAATTCTGACTTTTTTTTCTCGGAACTCTGACTTTTTTTCTCGCAACTTTTTTCTTGCAATTCTGTTTTTTTTCCTCGCAACTGACTTTTTTTCTTGCAATTCTGACTTTTTTTTCTCGGAACTCTGACTTTTTTTCTCGCAACTTTTTTCTTGCAATTCTGTTTTTTTTCCTCGCAACTGACTTTTTTTCTTGCAATTCTGACTTTTTTTTCTCGCAACTCTGACTTTTTTCTCGCAACTTTTTTTCTTGCAATTCTGACTTTTTTTCTCGCAACTCTTTTTTTTCTCGCAATTCTGACTTTTTTTTCTCGGAACGCGAGTTTATATCTCACAATTCTGAGAAATAACTTTTTTAATTTTTTTTTTACAGAAATATTCTGGTTTCAATTACAGGTTTGTCAGGCTGTCACTTGCAATTCTGTTTTTTTCCCTCGCAACTGACTTTTTTTCTTGCAATTCTGACTTTTTTTCTCGCAACTCTTTTTTTTCTCGCAATTCTGACTTTTTTTCTCACAATTGCGAGTTTATATCTCACAATTCTGAGAAATAACTTTTTTAATTTTTTTTTTACAGAAATATTCTGGTTTCAATTACAGGTTTGTCAGGCTGTCAGTTACTAGAATTTATTAATTTTTTATTTTTTTCTATTCTCAGCAAGACATTTTCAGTATTTATGCTGTTATTATGACAAAGCTGCTTGTTTTCAAAATGTTTTAATGATACACTAAATTAAACCGTGATTCTTTTTGCGTTTCCAGAAGTTTCAAGATTTCTATGTTCTTCAATAAAAGCAAAAGCTATTGAGAAGGAAAAAAAGTTATGATTCCAGTTTAAATATTTTATTTTTAGCGCTGCAATATAGTTATTTTAATTTTAAATAAATATATTGTCATTCATTTGTCAAATAATTCCATTAAGTAATTGAAACAATATTGTGTTATATTCAATAAAACATGTCCTTTATTATATATGATATAACATACGCCAGAACATTTGTTTCAGTCACAGAGAACACAAGAAATACTATTTGCAGAAAAATACAAGTTTATTTGGTTAAAACATAACACAAAATAACACTGTTTAAATACAAGTAACATGAGTATAAAATGTGGAAAATAAATGCAAAATGGTCAACATTTGTGGTAAATTACAATAATATCTTTCCGATTAATGTTTTTCGCCCATAAACCATAACCATAAAAACACAAGTCTCCAGTAGATTAACATGTATATTCTGTGATAAACCATTGCATTGTGCTCATTTCCGTTTGTAGGCACCGAAGTGAAGTGTTCTTCAGAGGTAAGACTGAGCTGATGCAGTACCGTCAGAACTCAGTCCATGTCCATTAATAACTGCTGCGCATAAACATAACAGTTCTGCTGGTGTTCAGACGCTGCCTCGCCTTCACATGAATCCAGAGCTAAAGAACGACCGACATCCGGTTTGAGAACGGACATGCATTTACAAATAACGTGTGATTTTTGTCCATTTAGATATTAAGTAGGATTCATTCAAATGTAGAGCTGATTGATTACTTCTTATCTTGTTCAGCTGACACTGATCCTTATTTGTTGTATTTTTATCAAGATAAACATGATTAATCACAAACAGATATTAATCACAACTGAGTTTTATTATTATTATTTAGTGTCATTTTATTGTTTATATTTAATTCAGCAGTTTATTTTCACATCTAAATATGTAATATTTATGAATTTACTAATTTATTTCAGTTTTCCATTATGAATGTCAAGTAGGATTCATCAGAATCTGAAACTTGTTCAGTCGATATCGATCCTATTTTTTAACATTTCTTTTATCAAGAAATTGTAGGTTGTACGTAGGTTGGTTAAAATAAAAAGGACAGCAGGCTTACACAAAAATTATCCATATTAAATTATGAGGCTTATGAGGAAAGAGCAAACAAATCTTCATGCCAAATTTATATTAATCACAACTGAGGAAATTAATTATTATTTTAAATTAGTTTATTTACTATTATTATTTATGACTTTAATGTTTATATTTTACTCACCAGTTTATCCAATAATTATTTTTTTTTATAATAAATTACATTCCCTTAATTTTTCATGTTTTTGGAAGTTGGTAATATAAGTTTTGTTTACATTTTACCATTTAAATATCAAATTCATCAAAATCTAGAACTGATAAATGTTTGGCCAATACAAATCCTATTTTTGTTTTATTTTATTATTTTATCAAGAGCTCTGATAAACATGACAGAAATACAAGACAAAAAAAATCATATGTTGATTGTTTAAGTAAATAAAAATAAAACTTGTAAACAAAAAAGACAAAAAAAAATATATAGGCCTATATTTTAAAAAAGCAGGCTTACACAAAAATTATCCATATTAGGATCCATATTAATTATGAGGAAATGACAAACTGATATTAATCACAACCGAGGGGTTTAATTATTATTATTTAATTTATTTATTAAATGTGTGATATTTTATTTTCACTTTATTAGACACTGGTACTATAAGTTCCTGTGCTGCAGGGTTGCCATGTGTTTCTTCAGAAGTGCTCCTCACATGTTCTGTAAGCGCTTCACTCACTTCTTGCGCTCTTTGTCCTTTTTGTTGTTGGAGCTGGTGTTGAAGGCCTGCGCCTGCAGGAGCTCGCTGGCAGCTCTGCGCTTGCTGAAGACGCTCATCTCCTTCTCCAGACTCCGGCGCTTCTCCTCCAGCTTGCTCTTCTCCTCCGCATGCAGTCGCTTCAGCTGCTCGAACTTGCCCTGCAGCTGGAGCACACACACACTGCTGGTTAGTAGCTCAACCACTCGTCAACTAGTTATCTGACATTATGCACTGGTGAGCAGAGCTGACTGTAGAATGCCACAGAATTTGGCAAACTGTGGATGAATAAATCAAAAGGCTACATTTGTATCAAATCACAATATAATGACATCACAGCAACCCGTTAAAATAAAAGTTTGGTGTGACTTGAAGAAATTGTGACAGAAATAAATTGCTATTTTAACAGCAAGACTAGAATGTACTAATGTAATACTTTTTTTTAATTTTTATTATTATTAAATTTTTTTATTTTATAATTAAACCTTTCAATTAAACTTAAACATTAAAAGCTTTATTTCTTAAGGAATAATCACTTTTTTTCTTACATATTTTAATTTTAACAGTAAACGGTAAAAGAAAAAAAAAAAGGGTAGTTTAATTTTGATTTGATTAAAAGGTGAATTAATGATTTATGCCCTCATTTGATTACCAGAAAAATTAAAATACGCAAATACAGAATTTCTGAAAAATAAAATATTAATAATATTATTTTTTTTAATTGTTTTTATGAATTTGATTAATTAGACATGCTTTTTGATTATTAAAATTTCATTAAAATTCAATAAAAAAATTTAATTTAATTAAAAATGGAATCCACAAAAATGTAAATGGAAAAAAATGAATTTGGTAAAAAAAATAAAATGGAATTTGAGAAAAAATAAAACAGATTTCATAGGGCCCTAAGAATGTCTTTTATGTTACTTTTAATAAACTGTTGTGAAATTGTATAGGTTTCATGATTTTAATTAATTAGACATACTTTTGGATTACTAAAATTTAATTTAAATTTCCAGAGAAATGAAAAAAATAAATAAAAAAGTAATCCAGAAAAATGCAAAAGTAAAAAAAAAAAAAACCCACAGATAATGAACGGATGGCACATGCTCCTGTGAATGCAGGCGTCGTACCTCTCTCTCGCCGTCTTTCAGCTCGGACTCTTTCTCTTCGACTCTCTGCACAAACGTCTGTCGCATCTCCTCCTCTCGTCTCTGCAGCTCGCCCACAAACTCCTGCCGCTTCGCCTCGTACGTCTGCTGAAGACTGACGAAAAACAGCGGCTTAAACTCAACACTAATAACAGAGCATCAGAGCATCACTGATCTGAATTCAGGGAATCATCTGGTCAAACTGTCTGATAAAGCCGTGGGGAAATCAGGCAAGAGAAACAGAATCAGCAGGTCTAATACCCTCCTGATCGATCAGTGTTAATGAAACATTAAACTGAGTCGACGTCCGTCAGTCTTGTTAGACTTTTTAAATTTAATTTAAGACTTCAAGACCTTTTTTAAGACCTGCACAAATAAAACTAGATAAAGTTCGTCAAGACAAACTTTGAAGTTGGCTTGAGAAAGACAGACCAGAACGTTTGAAAAAGTTTTAAAAGTTTGATGATAGATAGATACTCACGAGTGGTTGCTAGGGTGCTGCTATGCAGTTGCTAGGGTACTCGGAGTGGTTGCTAGGGTGTTGCTATGCGGTTGCTAGGGTACACGGAGTGGTTGCTAGGGTGTTGCTATGCGGTTGCTAGGGTACTCCGGGTGGTTGCTATGCGGTTGCTATGGTACTTGGGGTGGTTGCTAGGGCGGTTGCTAGGGTGTTGCTATGTGGTTGCTAAGGTATTCTGGATAGTTGCTAGGTTGTTGCTATGTGGTTGCTAGGGTACCCAGGGTGGTCGCTAAGGTGTTGGTACGCGGTTGCTAGGGTACTTGGGGTAATTGCTAGGGTACCTGGGGTGGGTGCTAACGTGTTGCTATGTGGTTGCTTAGGTACCCGAAATGGAGACCAGAACGTTTGAAAAAGTTTTAAAAGTTTGATGATAGATAGATAGATACTCAGAGTGGTTGCTAGGGTGCTGCTATGCAGTTGCTAGGGTACTCGGAGTGGTTGCTAGGGTGTTGCTATACGGTTGCTAGGGTACACGGAGTGGTTGCTAGGGTGTTGCTATGCGGTTGCTAGGGTACTCCGGGTGGTTGCTATGCGGTTGCTATGGTACTTGGGGTGGTTGCTAGGGCGGTTGCTAGGGTGTTGCTATGTGGTTGCTAAGGTATTCTGGATAGTTGCTAGGTTGTTGCTATGTGGTTGCTAGGGTACCCAGGGTGGTCGCTAAGGTGTTGGTACGCGGTTGCTAGGGTACTTGGGGTAATTGCTAGGGTACCTGGGGTGGGTGCTAACGTGTTGCTATGTGGTTGCTTAGGTACCCGAAATGGTTGCTAGGGTGTTGCTATGCGATTGCTAGGGTACTCGGGCGGTTGCTAGGGTACACAGGGTGGTTGCTAAGGTACTCAGGATGGTTGCTAGGGTGTTGCTATGCAGTTGCTATGGTTCTCGGGGTGGTTGCTAAGGTGTTGCTATGCTAAGGTGTTGCTATGCGTTTGCCAGGGTACTCGGGGTGGTGGATAGGGTACCCCGGGTGGTTGCTAAGGTGTTGCTACGTGGTTGCTATTGTACTTGTGGTGGTTGCTAGGGTATTGCTATGTGGTTGCTAGGTTGTTCTGGGAGGTTGCTATGTAATAGAGTGATTAGAAATAATAGATAGATAGATAGATAGATAGATAGATATATAGATAGATAGATAGATAGATAGAAATAGTCAGATAGATAGATAGATAACGCTGGACTTTTAATTATAAACAAAGCCTGAAATACACCGGGACTCTTATTTTGAAATATCTATGCTTTACTTCTTCCTCAATTACTTTTTCATTTATTTTACAAAAACATTGTATTTTTATTTTACAATTACTTTTTAATTTATAATTACTTTTTAATTAATTTTACAAAAAAAAATTTTTTTACAATATATTTTTTATTTATTTAACATATACACACAATATACAAATTAAATAAATAAAGATAAAAATGTAATTATTTAAAATAAAATAAAATGAAATAAAATAAAATGGCTTGAATATCTCTGTTCACAAACACTAAAATATGGAAGTAACTTCTCCTGTATCTTCCGATCACACTCTTCCTCAGTATTTCTGTCTTGTTTTCCAGTGCAACTGTCTAAAGATTCATAAATCAGGACACATTTACTGGAGAAACAAAATTAGATCAAATATGAAGTCTTGTTTTCTGAGAAACTGATCAAAATGAAGTGAGTTTATGATTAAAACAAGAACAAATCTGATTTTGATCAGTTTCTCAGAAAACAAGACTTCATTCGCACATTTTGCGTCTCCAGTAAATGCATCTTGATTTAAGGATGTTTTAGATTGAAAACAAGACAGAAATACCGAGGAAGATGTTCGTGTTTGCAGTGCAAAGCTCGCCAATTTAGCAGCATAAAATCTTTAGGCGTTTAGTATAAAGTAAACTGGACATGCACAAGCAAAACTAATTTTCTTCATGTTTTCTGAGCTCACAGTTTCCGTTTATCTAGTAGTGCATCTATCTAAACACATATAGCTTCATATGTTTTCAGTGTGTGCCGGCGACGTCATGGCAAAACTAATTATTTCTTGATTTCACACACACAAGCTTTTCTAGTATTGTTGTGTACTCTAAAGGAGCAGCGGTTGGTGGCTTGACGTGTCACTCATGAGGTCACTTCCTGTCCTGTCCTGTCACTTCCTGTCAGGCTCACCCTGCACGACGCCCCAGGGATACTGCCTCGCCTTCAGCATCTTGTTCCCGATGTTCACCTCCTCTGTGCTGCCGACGACGGCGAACGGAAGATGACCCTGGAAGAGCCCACGAAACACTCTCTAACTATTATTACAGTTCATTATTGATGAAGCTACTTGTCAATAGTTTGATTGTGAAACATGATTATTCCCAGCTGGTGAATGAATCTCAGGTTTGGGAATACATTTGGAGAAATCAGGCGTGTAAAGCTTAATGAGTAAAGCCCATAGAATGGCTAGCATATGCTTTATTTCCTGTCGTCGTTTTGTTTTTCTATGCGCTTTTTTTTGCATAGTACAGTAACACCTATATTCTGTAATAAACTGTAATTGTTTTTTTTTTGCCGAATAATTTAATCCGTTTTCCTGATTCCTTAAACAGCGTTATTATAGTTAATTAAAACTAAAAATAAACCATAAAAATTTTTTTTTTACATGAAATAAAATAAACATTAACTTAGATAAATTTAATTTTTTAATTATTGCAGTTAGTTAACACTTCTCATTTTCATTTAGTTTAACTTTATGTGCTAGAATAACTAAAAGTAAAACTGAAATTTAATGCATTAAAAAAAAAAGAATAATAAAATATGAAAATTGTTTATTTCTGCTAGTTTCCAAAGCAACACGTCTCATTTTAATTTAGTTTAACTTGATGCGCTAAAACTGAAATAAAAATTGTATAGACAAATATTTTTAAAAAACTATTTAAACTGACAAAAACATAACAAAATTCCTAAAACTTTGAAATTAAAATGAAATAATAATTAATATATATGAATAATTGTTATTGATATATTTATGCAATTATAAATTAATATGGAAAATATAAAATTTGTATAAAAAAAAAATATATATATTATTTTATATCATCATATATTTTTGTATTTATTAAAAAACTATAATAGTATCTCAATAATAATCAAATGTATTGTTTTCTTCTTCCCAGTCTAACACACTCCTTATATGTGACCCTGGAGCACAAAACCAGTCATAAGTGTCAGTTTCTCGTAATTTATATTTATGCATCATCTGAAAGCTGAATAAATAATCTTTCCATTGATGTATGGTTTGTTAGGATAGGACAATAATTGAAAATCTGGAATCTTTTTTGAAAGCAAAAAAATCTAAATATTGAGAAAATCATCTTTAAAGTTGTTCAAATTAAGTTCTTAGCAATGCATATTACTAATCAAAAATTAAGTTTTGATATATTTACGGTAGGAAATTTACAAAATATCTTCATGGAACATGATCTTTACTTAATATCCTAATGATTTTTGGCATAAAAGAAAAATCTATAATTTTGACCCATACAATGTATTGTTGGCTATTGCTGCAAATATACCCCAGCGACTTAAGCCTCCAGGGTCCCATATTTTGATGGTTTAACAGAGCATTCAGGGCGGTTAAAAGCGAATACTGCACACATAACCCCTTCTTCCAGTTGCTTCTGTGCTTTCTCTCAGGACTCACGTTCATGGCGGTGTTGATGTTGGCCACGGTCTCGTCGTCGATGGGAAACTGGTAGATCTGCACGCCGTTGCTCACCAGCTCGCTCATGATCTTGATCTTGAACTTGTGCAGCTCGCTCTTGGAGATGGTGTCGGCTTTAGCGATGACGGGGATGATGTTGACCTGCCACGTACCGATATAGAGAAACCACAGGCTTGTGTTTAGCCACCGGCCACGTCTAAAACATATGAACACATTACGGCAGAGAGGAAGAGCTCGGGAATAATCGCAGTCTGACCTTGCTGTCCAGTTTCTTCATAGTGACCAGGTCTAGGGATTTGAGCGAGTGTCCGGACGGAGCGATGAAGTTCAGACATGCATGGATCCTGGAGTCGTGGTAGTTATGGAGCGAGCGCTTGATCTTCAGCTCCTCCTGTAAGTACGACTCGAACTGCGTGTCGATGTAATCCACTATGTGCTGGTAACTATAACACAGAGAGAGAGAACGTCGGGATATACGCAGAAAAGACAAGGTTTCGGATATAATTCTTCATTAAAGGAACAGTTCAGACGAAAATTAACATTTCTCAGGATCATCCGAGATCAGGATGAGTTTGGAGAAATGTAGCGTTGCATCAGTGTCTCACTGCAAGTGAATGGGTGCCGTCAGAATGAGAGTCCAAACAGCTGATAAAAACATCACAATAATCCACAAGTAATCCACAGCACTCCAGTCCATCAGTTAACATCTGGAGAAGACAAAAGCTGAAACAAATCCAGCATTAAGATGTTTTTAACTAAAATACATTGAGTCTATAATCCATAATAACTCTTCCTGCAGTGAAGAAGTGTTCTGGTGTGAATCAGGAGAGAAATCTGCACAGATCAAGCAGCGTTTAAACAGCTCTAAACTAATATGTGGCTGGATTTTGATGTGAGAGACAACACCAGAACACTTCTTCACTGCAGGAAGAGTTATTATGGATTATAGACTCAATGTATTTTAGTTAAAAACATCTTAATGATGGATTTGTTTCAGCTTTTGTCTTCACAAGATGTTAACTAATGGACTGGACTGGTGTGGATTACTTATTTTTATTATTATTGTTTTATTATTGTGATGTTTTTATCAGCTGTTTGAACACTTATTCTGACGGCACCCATTCACTGCAGAGCAAGTGATGGAATGCTACCTTTCTCCAAATCTGATGAAGAAGCAAACTCATCCTAATCTTGGATTTTCATTTTTTTAAATGCACAGTTTACATCTTCTGGTTGTATACTGCACATTTAAGGAACCGTATTCAGTATGCATGATAAATTCTGCAGAAAAGGTAGTATGTTGTTAGTATGCTATTCGCTCTCTCATGCTGCAGGACAGGAGTTTGATCAGTTCAGATGTTTATAGTGACACTTAAATATGATGCTGGAAGCAGAATAAACATTGTCGCATGTCAGTTTTGATTGAAACCTTCTAAGACGAGCGTCTGTTTGAAAGCGCACACGCTGAAAGCGCTCCAGCTCAGTTGTTTATATCCAGAGGCCGTGTTATCATTTAGTCTTACGGTATATCAAGAGGAATAACGCTTCCTCCAGTGACAAAAAGTGCATCTGCTGTTGTCTCTCACATCAAAATCCAGCCACATAAGTGTTTAGAGCTGTTTAAACGCTGCTTGATCTGTGCAGATTTCTCTCCTGATTCACACCAGAACACTTTTTCACTGGAGGAAGCGTTATTATGGATTATGGACTCAATGTATTTTAGTTAAAAGCGTCTTAATGCTGGATGTGTTTCAGCTTTTGTCTTCCCCAGATGTTAACTGATGGACTGGAGTGCTGTGGATTACTTGTGGATTATTGTGATGTTTTTATCAGCTCTCGTTCTGACGGCACCCATTCACTTGCAGTGAGACACTGATGCAATAAAGCAATTTACAGTGAATTTATAACAGCTAAGGGGCGTTGTTAGGCTAAAACCTCCCTTAGCTGTTATAAATTCACTGTAAACCACGGCTTCACGGGGGTTATTGCTTTTATAAAATGGTTATTCCATATACGTAGTAAGGTTTCACAAAATAAAACAGAGCAAATAAAGTGTAATGATATTAATAAAAACAGTATTCTTCCACCAAACAATGTAGTTCCTCAGAAACAGTTGTGGTTGCTACAAAGTGGTTTACAGAAGTAAACAAAGGTGTATATTTGTAGAGTAATTTACAACAGCTTCGAACGCGGCTCAGCCAATCAGAATCAAGCACCGGAACTATCCGCTTTATAATGCTACATTTCTCCAAACCTGTAACAGTGATCAATAATCACTGAGTGAAGACGCCTGACCTCTGTTGTTTGTTCATCTGATCGCCGAAGCCGACAGTATTAACCACGGTGAGCTTCAGACGAACATTGCTCTCCTGAAGATCGTACGTCTGCGCTCGCAACCTCACCTTCGGCTCAAAATGGGACGACTCGAAATTCTCAAAATTGGTGTTGAAAAGTGTGTCCATCAGCGTGGATTTACCGATCCCAGTTTCTCCTGGAGGAATAAACACAGTACATATGAACCCTATCCACGAGTCAGTGCGTCTCGAATCTGATCCTCAGGATCTTTTGAGGAGCGTTTGTTTCCAGAAGCTTTACTTTCACTGTTCCTCAGCGGAGGAATGATCTTCACAAGCCTCCAGAACATCTCACATCTTCTGAGGAGCCTTTATTTCTTCAGCTCTCCATCACTACATTATATGTTTTCTTACCGATGCAGAGGATGTTGAAGCAGAATCCCTGACTAGTGGACTTGTTGACTAGTTGATCCGGCAGACTGTCGAACCCGACATGACCTGACAGAGCCAGAGGACGAGCGTTCATGTCCTGGAAGAAACCAGTGAGCGAGAAAACATGACGCTGATATAAAACTGCTTTTCAAATTGTACAATCACATGTAACTATAAATATGTGACCCTGGAGCACAAAACCAGTCTTAAGTGTAAATTTTTGCAATAAATGCTTTAATAAAAATATGTCAAATATTTCTAACCGGTTTGACAACTGACTAGTAAACTTTTAAAAGAAATATTATCCTATAGCTAAGTTATTAATTTACATTGGGGAATGTATTCAGATTAGTGATTTCCGATTTATTCATTAGATGAGATTTAGTAATTTTGTCGTAATTTTTGTGATTTTTTATTTATTTTAAATATCACTATGTAGGTTTAATTTATTTTTATTTTTATTTATTTGATTTCCAGTTAGTAATTTTATTGCTTCAACTTAAATGTTGCCTTGGCAACAAACAGATTTTTTCTAATATTTATATTTTATTTCAATTAACAAAAATGTTTTAATAGTCAAATGTATTAAAATAGTATAAGTGCATTAAAATTGATAAATCAGATGCTTGCATTCAGACTGATAAATGTATTTAGATCGCTCATTCAGATACACATTCATATTCATAAATCAGATCGATGTATAAAATTAATAAATCAGATAAATGCATTCAGATTTGATAATTGAGCTTTGTGAAATGTATTCGGACTGCGCATATACACATATTCAGATTCATAAATCAGATCAATTTAATTCAAATGAATAAATCATATATTTGTATTTAGAGGAATAATTCAGATTGAGAAATGTATCCAGATTGAGAAATTCATATACACGTATTCAGATTCATAAATCAGATCAATGCATTCGATTCGATAAATCAGATAATACAAATAAATGTTTTCAAACTGATAAATCAGATAAATGTATTCAGATTGAGAAATGCATTCATATGCACGTATTCAGATTCATAAATCAGATAAATGCATTCAGTTTTATAAATCAGTTGATACAAATAAACTTATTCAAATGAATAAATGGTATGTTTGTATTCAGATTAATGATTCAGCTTGAGAAATGCGTTCAGACCGCTCATTCGGATTCACGGATTCGGATTCAGAAATCCGATTGTTTACAGAGGAATAGTTCGGGACACTCCCAAGCCAACCCACTCCCTCTGTCCCAAACTTCAGAAAAACCTCGGAACCGGAACATATCGATCACTCACGTACCATCTGTCCAACCACACCAGAAGAAGCCATATGCGCCAGAAAAGTAGCGAATATTTGTGGAAATGTCGGGTCGCTTTCAGATGAAAGTCAAAAGTTGCCGTGACCCGCCTCGTCACACCACTGGGAACAGCGCCTCTACCATTTCAGAGGGTTTCGTTTGAATATTAGTCGATAAAGTATACCGACTTCAGATGTCAGATATATTAGCGAGCACTTTCTTAACATTGTACGTCGATTTAATCCGAATGAAAGCTATAAATCATGCTCGGTTTCATTCATTAAAACCTCTAAAGCTCAATGGAGCTCCAACCCCCCTTTGTCCCGGCAAAGTGGTGCGTTCCAAGCTCGGACTCGCCCTTTGGTGCAACTGGAATCCATTTAGGCTCAACGCGGAGCCGCTTCCCGCGTTAACGCCGGGCGCGTCGGAGCCCAAATGAGCGCGCCTGTACTCCAGTTTCACACTCGTGATTCCGTTCCCCAACAAGAGTTGCTAGGATGCAAAACATCATCTTTATAAGCTCTACCGACCCCTATCTGACACACTCAGTACTCAGTCTCATCTACAGCCTAGTTTTAATAAGACACGATGTGTTCACTTGCGCACAGACTAACGATTAATCGATGTCAACCTGTCAAAATGACGCAGGCGCAGAGGATTAGATGCTGACTTGTGCATTCGCTTATTTATTTTTATTATTATTAATATAAAACATGATAATGGCGACAGAGTGCACGCAAGAATCCGTCCTGGACTTTCTATTGGAAAACGGGGGGCGAGTGAAAAACAAGGACTTGGTCGCGCATTTTAAAGTCTTTCTGAGCAGCGAAAATGCGAAGCGAGCCGTGCTAAAAGAGAGATTTAAGCGCTATGTGGACAATATCGCCTACGTGAAGCAGGAAAACGGGGAGAAAGTGGTGTGTTTGAAGAAGAAGTACAGACACCCGGAGATGAGCAGCGGGCGCGCGCAGGATGATGATGGTGGTGGTGGTGATGAAGACATCAACAGAGGAATCAATGCATTGCATTTCGAAGAGAACACCAACGTGCATGAAGAAATCGGTGATCTGAAAGCTGTGAGAGAAGCTGAGGAGGAGCTGTGTGTGTCTGACATCGCACTGATTGAGAAAGACCGCGAGCTCTCGGGGGAAAACGAAACTGTGCATGGAAATGATATCAAACCTAATGCTCCTGAGCTCTCTAGTGCCCGGTCAACAGGAGAGGCTGGGGTTGGCAGGGCTCCCGTCACGCCACAGGTCATCGTTAATCGACGGAGAACATCCAGGGGCTCTCTGCGGAGTCTGCTGGGCTCTTCTGAGGATGGAGCACATGATGCACTGCCTGAGGATGGCAGCACCCCAAAATGCAGCCGCAAGAACTTCATAGAGCTCATGATGAGCAGTTCTCCACAGGTGGGACGGGTGCAAATACAGTAATGTAATGCATGTAATAAACATAATCCATATCATATATAATGCAAAAGTACATAATGCATATAATATACAATGGAAATACACTTAATGCACATAATAGTGCAAATCTACATTATGCTCATAATGCATATTATAATGAATAATGCATGTAATATATGATGCATATGCACATAATGCATGCAATAATGATTATGCACATAATGCAATATAATCCAAATGCTCATTATGCATATAATATATAATGCAAAATCACATAATGCATATAATGAATAATGGAAATTCATAATGAATGTAATATATGGTGCATATGCACATAATGCATGTCATAATGATTATGCACATAATACAATATAATCCAAATGCACATTTTGCATATAATATATAATGCAAAATCACATAATGCATATAATGAATAATGCTAAATCATAATGCATGTAATATATAATGCATATGCGCATAATGCACTTAATGAATAATGCAAAATCGTAATGAATGTAATATATGATGCATATGCACATAATGCATGTAATAATGATTATGCTTATAATGCATATAATATCAGAATCAGAAAGAGCTTTATTGTCAGGAATTCATCTTTGTGTCAGGAGCTTCCAGTGCAGAAAGTACAGACATAAATTCTGATTCTGATTCTGAACTAATGCAAAATCATATAATGCATGTAATAATAATTATGCTTATAATGCATATAATATATAGTCCAAATGTACATAAATGTGCATATAATATATATTCCAAATGCATATAAATAATGCAAAATCACATAATGCATATATGATGCATATGCACATAATGCATGTAATAATGATTATGCACATGATGCATGTAATATATAATGCAAGTGCACATTATGCATAATGCAAAATCACATAATGCATATAATATATAATGCATGTGCACATAATGTATATAATAAATAATGCAAAATCATATAATGCATGTAACAATGATTATGCTTATAATGCATATGATATAGAATCCAAAATCACATAATGCATATAATATATAATCCATATGCACATAATCCATATAATATAAAATCCAAATGTACATAATGCATATAATACATATTCCAAATGCATATAATAAATAATGCAAAATCACATAATGCATATGCACGTAATGCATATAATATATATTCCAAATGCATATAATAAATAATGCAAAATCACATAATTCATATATGATGCATATGCACATAATGCATGTAATAATGATTATGCACATAATACACATAATATATAATCCAAATGCACATTATGAATATATATATTGCAAAATCACATAATGCATATAACTATAAAATGCATATGCACATAATGCATATAATATATAATCCAAATGTACATAATGCATATAATATGTAATGCATATGCAGGTGAGACGCTCACTGGTGCACCGTAACTCCCAAGGGCACATGTCAGCCAGAAGCAGTGAGTTCAGAACGTCGTCTGTGGATGAGGATTGTGCTTTGGTAACTTTAGACCCGCTGGAGCACGAGTGGATGATGTGCACGGCAGATGGTGAGTGGGACAGTCTGCAGCGGCTGCTCGAGTGTGAACCCACGCTCATCTCCAAGAAGGACTTTGTCACGGGGTTTACATGTCTGCACTGGGTGGCCAAGCAAGGCAAACAAGAGCTTTTCGCAATGCTGGTGGATTTCGCCAAACGGCACGGCGTCGCCATCAACGTAAACGCCCGATCCAGTGCCGGCTACACGCCTCTGCACCTGGCAGCCATGCACAATCATATAGAGGTCATGAAGCTTCTGGTGGGAGCGTATGATGCAGATGTGGATGTGCGGGATTACAGCGGGAAGAAAGCGGCGCAGTACCTCCGTGCCAGCGTCACATGCGACATCAAGGACATCATAGGCGCTTGTGCGAACTCTGACACAGAGAACGCATCTAGAGCTGTGCGATGGAAGCTTCCTAAAGTCCTGCAGTCCAATCTCAACCCCCTACGGTTACTGAACCACCCTGAAGAGATGACAGCCGACAGTCAACCCAGGCCCAGGTCTCTGTATCGGAAATCCTCCATCGGCCGCATCAGACTGCAGAGGAACCGCTTCAAGACACAGATCGTCCACAGCACTTCGTTCAGAGAGAACGAGGAAGGCGAGGAGTCGCTCAAGAGCCCGGTCAAATCCAGACCCTTGTCCAATCTGTTTGGCTGAGACGGCCGTGTGAATAATAGAGACCTATGCAAAGACATTATTACTCTGAGATCAGCTGAGCTGCTTGTGAACTTGGGTCTTTATACATACCTTTTATATTTTAGGATGGACGAGGATGAGCAACTGGAACAAATTTTTAATGCAATCATCTCCTTTATCAAATTATGCACCACTATTTTAGTATTATGAAGCTCTAAAAACGTGTAGATTATTTTTTTAATGGATATTTTCACGGATGCACTCTTGTGTGTCATGATATCATGTTGCTGTTGCATGTGATTGTCCTCTTGCTCTCCTGTTTTAGTCGCTGTGCCTTTAATTCATCTTCTGATCGTCTTCCAGATGCAGGAATGAACATGTCTTGAGACTGTTATCCCATAAATGTGAATGTAAATTCAGTGTGTTTATGTGCCGTAGGTGATGTTTAGAAAGCTGCTGTTTAAATGGTTTAAGACGGAGTCTGATTCCATGGCCAGAAAGGAACAGTTCACCCCGAACACTGCAGTGAATGGGTGCCTTCAAGACGAGAGCTGATAAAAACATCACAATAATCCACAAGTAACCACTCCAGTCCAGCAAATAACGTCTTGAGAACACAAATCCATCATTAAGACGTTTTTAACTAAAATACGAGTCCATAATCCATAATAACATTCATTTTAGGGTGAACTGTTCCTTTAATAACTCTTAGCACTTTTACCTAATCAAACTGACCAAGCTTTATAATACTGTTGCTCCTAATCACTGATTACTACCGATCCCAAATACTAATATTCCAAATGTGTTTTCAGTCATTCTCTAAAGTGCCTTTATTGATAATGAAAGGTCATTTTAGGCACTTGTTGTAGATGAATAATATTTTAAATCACCCAGAAAATGTGCTCAATGTTTCTTAAATGCAAACTATTGAAACCAACTGGATGTTTATGTTTCCTAAAGACAATGTGAGTGATGTTTGGTGTTGCTATGCAGTTGCTAGGTTGCTCCAGCTGGTTGCTAGGTGATGTCGGTGTTGCTATGCAGTTGCTTGGGTGCTCCAGCTGGCTGCTAGGTGATGTCGGTGTTGCTATGCAGTTGCTAGGGTGCTCCAGCTGGTTGCTAGGTGACGTCAGTGTTGCGATGCAGTTGCTAGGGTGCTCCAGCTGGTTGCTAGGTGACGTCGTACCCGTCGTCTCCGTGATGTTTTGCTCATTCATGCGGAGTAATGATTCCTGACTTGGCAAACTGCACTAATTAACTGCTGCTCTTAAATGACACCGTCGTTAACCAGCTGCTGTCAATCCATTATTTATCTGATGTGAAGACGTTTAGGAAGCACTAAACTTTCACGGTTGGGTCCGAATTGTGTGAGAACTGTGAAATTCACTCATTTTTCCGAGTGTTTTGTTCCGTTCGTCATCCTATCAGAATGTCGTTTCATTCAGTTTGGTGTCGCACACACAAATTCAGTTCTTTTTTTTCCCATGAAAT